AAACTCGAATAAGTAGAATATCGTGCAAAAGTAATTGCAGTAAGTTCTGCAAAAGGGGCCCAAACCAAGTACTGAGTACATATGCATGCTTGTACTTTTCAGAGGTCCGATATTGTTCTATGTACAATCCTTGTTTTATTGATTGCATGTAATAATCTACTTTTTTGAGGTTGTGGATTTGGGGTTCTTGGGGTTTTCATGAGCTGTAAGCCATAATCATCACAATTATGACAAATCACGGCTTGAACTATCTTGCTTTGCATGTAATGAGTCTATCTCATATATTAGTTTCACCTTTTAAGTTGCATTAGTGAAATAAATGAACTTTGCACAATATTCTAATTATTCGAGTTTCCCCTGTATGTAGTGAAAGTATTTGTAACTTAAGTGTTGATATAGAAAGAGACGGGTTCTTTTTTTTTATAATGTATTATGAACAAGGGATACGTTTTACATAACCAATATATTTTTTCTCTCTGAGATTCAAAAGGTACAGCAATAGCACAGTTTTACGCAAAAGTTTTCCTTGAAAGTAAGCACTAATTTCTGCAAGTCAGTGAAACAGACCTGACATGCCCAAGTATGTTTTTCCTTCTTAACAATGTGCCTATTTCCCAGTTACTTTCATGTTCAGTTTGACAAATGTCTATAAGGCCTCTTTCACACAGGCAGTCCTATTGGTTGCGCCTGTGAGTTTTTTAAGCAGACCCGATCAGATGACCAATGTAGGTCTATGGGCAGCCGTGTGTAAACAGACTGGGTCGCATTATACCTGCCTACCCTCAACTCTGGCCAGGTTTGGAAAAACAAACCAATCGGAGATTCGTTTTGCCGGACCTGATCGTGCAGGATCAGGGTAATCTGATGTACACGGACACATGTTCCTATTCCCCATAGACTGACATAGGGTCTGACAGTTTCAGTTCTTTCATCCTTGCGATGGAGGAAGATACTGTACAGACACTGATGTCATATCGGTGACATCTGATCCATACTGCTCTGGTCAGGGGATCCGTGCATAGATCCCCTTCTGATCAGCCCATGTGAAAGGGGCCCAAGACTTCATTCAAATATCAAAAACCTGGGTTTTACTATTACTGGGATTACAATACTGGCTTTTTCTTTTTTATGCCAAGTTTGTGCTGTTAAATAGTTTTTTGAAAGGGATATTGTATGCCTGAATATTACATTTTATGTGAAATGAGTCAAAGGAAACTCATTGTGTGAGAATTGGTCGTTAAAAGGCATGTAAAACCTCTTGTAACAAGAAATATGAAATGTATGCTTCACCGGGATAAAATGCTGCAAAGCTGTGTACCCATAGGCATTCAGTCCTGTAGGATTTTAATGCTTTCTGTTGTTTTTAAATGGTGTACTGCAAACTATAAATGTCCTTGATTACTGTCAACAGTGGCCACAATAGCAGTGAAACTCTGACAATGTTTAATAAGGCACTGACAAAGCATTTTTTATAGCAATAGTTAAGCATTAAATTCCCCCGATAGTCACATTAATAACCTATGCTTTTACAGCAGGAATCCTTTTCTGAGCATCTCAAAGGATCGTTCTTCATTTGTGTCTCAAATGCTTCTCCTCTCAGACACTGCATCTCACATTGGGAAGTTTCAGCAGTGGGAGGTAGTGCTGTCAATCCAGAAAGCAGTGGGCAGGACTAGGTGTGGCCAGGTGATGACTGACAAACGACAGGCTTTTGAATCAGCAGTGACAGCAGTGTCAGCACGCTGATAGCCACGCCCTGCAATATTTTTCACTCCATTGTGGTTCAGGCAGGCACAGCATACATGAGAGTGGCAACTCTGCTCTGAATTCTGCCTTTTGAGTGTATTGAAAATAGCTATTTGCAATATTTCATATTTATCTGAATTAAAGTGCATAAAGTTTTTCCCATAATGTTCAGGTATGCACAAAGTGTTTTCACATTATGGCATATTTACCTTGTACACCGCCCGCCTCCAGCATTGCTTGTGCTTCCATCTTTTCCTGGTCTTCTTATGGTTTAAAGTCTTGAGCCATTTCAAGTGGAAGGCTGAGATGAAGTAACTCCCGTGTACAGGAGTTACTTTTCAGACTTTACATTGAGCTGCGCATGTACAGCTCAGTGTACACTTGGAACAAGATAATGCTGCCCAGTAGGTTGAAGTATTTTGTTACATAAGATATGCACCTGTCTGCACTGTTTTTAAAGCAGATTATTTCTGCTTTAAAAAATAAATAGTTTTAATTAATTGAGGATGCTGGTAATATGGAATTGCTCTACATTTGGCAGCATCTGAACTCTCCAGTTGTGTATGCACAGATCCTTTTTGTAGACTTCAGCTTGGCAATCACTATGCTTTCAGAGATTTTAAAGCCCATTTCAACCTTTGCAGAGGTATTTTTGAAAAACATATGCCAGCAATGTACACAGAGTGTACATGACACAGGCATATGCAGCTGTCTATGAAGACAGAAACGTACATGTTTTGTTAGCTTTCCTCTTCATATCTGCATGGGAATTTCTGCCTCTGTGCTGTGCAAGAAATTTGTGTATATATTCTATCTCTCCCCCCCCCCCCCCCCCCCCGCGCGGGGGGCGGGGCGAGGGGACAGGGT